TTCCCATCATCCCTGAGCTGATGTTAACCTTGTTCTCCCTTTGTGTTTTTTTTGTTTTTGTTTGTTTGGGGTTTTTTGTTGCCATTTTTACTTTCCACACTTTCCATCTGCCAAGGTCAATCTCCTTTCCTAAACATATTTCCATCTCTCATTCTAACTTAATGCTACTGAATGAAGCATCCTTATTTTATTGTTCTTTATTGGTTAGCAATTTTTTTCAAAACAGTTTTGTATGTTGGTTACATGAGAAAATAAATCTCATTTTTCGTGTCATTTATAACATTTGTTTTGATGGGAAGAACCAGCAGGGGTGAGATTCTTTTCACAGAGGGTGTTTCGAGGGGAACGCATAAACAAAACATCAAAAAGACAGTGATCTGCACAAGTATCTTCTCACTTTTTGTGTTTATCCAAGTCTTTCAGATTGTGATTGTCATCTAGCTATCAGCTTTTATTCTATCTGCATCCCTTTTAAAATCCTCCCCCGTGTTTCTGACTTTCCCTCAGCAAAAGATCTACCTTCTTCTTCCCACCCTCTAGTTTCGTTTTCCCCAATTTCTTCTATCCTCCTCCTATCTTATTCTTATACATATTACACCTCCATCTTTATAGTCTCCCTTTTGCACTCCAACCCATCAGTGGTTATTACTATGTGTGCTCTGCTGTCATCATGCCTACTGATGTACAGTTTGAACTGGTTACAATATACACTTAAACATTTACGTGCAATACACAAAAATACACAGAGCGCACTGAAAAACTATATTAAACCCAATTCCGTCCTAAAGGTACATTTCCCACTCTTTCTCATGGTCTTGGCAGCACAAACACATTGCTCAACGCACACATAACCTCTGCCCTCACTCAGAGTATTCCTTGTCTGCAATATCTGCTAACTCATTTAGCATTTCATGTTAGCTCAGCCAGATCCAATTACAGCAAGAGCAAGAATGAAGTCTGAGTGGGAGGCAATTTAACCTCATGACAAAGAGAACTGTAACACATGGCTCCAATTCAATAATATTAAGCACACTGACAGAATTGTGCAGTGGAATTCAAAAGTTTAGGCAGAGACCCAGGTTTTTCCAGATGACAGTCATCCTCAATAGGTCTGAAGTCAAAGGTTTGCGAGGCTTTATCTGATACATTACACCAAGGAGTCACAGAGTTCTCACCCTAAAAGAAAGACAACTGATAAAATATCAACAAATGAAAACATAGAAGTGGATGGCAATATGATTTTAGCTCATGTTTTCTCAAGTCAAAATTTGGCAAACAAAGAGCATCATGAAAAACATGGAGGTCGAGGTGATGTCTATAAAACCGTACTCTAGAAGGACTAAGATGATAAAAATCTAATTAGTTAATGGGATGTCCATCCCCTTCATCTCTCTATCCATCCATAGTCTTTGGCTCCCTCAGGCACTCCATTGCTAAAAGGGAAAGGAAGTTCTATGTCTGCACCGGGTTCTCCTCTCAATGGGATGAGCATTGAAATCCTGCCGGAGGGAGACATCCATTAGATGCTCATACCATCTTAACTCGCTCCATTCAATGTGGAGGAGCAAAGCCACCATTTAAATGACAGATCTCCCCACCTTATCCCTGAGACATGATTAGCATCTGCACAGACAAAGACCAAAGAGTAAAGAGAAAAGTCAATCAGACATTTTTAAAGCTGTGAAATCAACTTTATAAGGTTGGACACATTTCCTGTTTGATGTTTTTTGTTTGTTTTTTGTTTTTTTCTCCAGTAGTTTAAAAGCATATTTGGTGAGCTTGTAAAGTCAACCAAATCCATTTTGCTTCATTGTTTTTCAAATCTCCCTAGCTATGGAAATAATGTAAATATCCAAATAAATCAAATCTAAACCAGAAAGCTCATAAACGATGCACACATATAATTATGTAAGCTTTATTTAAATATCTGTGTGAATATTTGTTTATTTTTTCTTTGATATAACATAAATCAAAATACAATCTACATAAAATAAAGGTCTAAATTATTCCAAAAAACATTTTTTTTAATTACAATAGCTGTTGTTAGGGACACCTCTATGTTTAATTTCTTCAGTTCTGTTAAGAATCATCTAACTCACTGTGCACAAAACCACACACACAACAATTTCTACTATGTCTATAGTAAATGAAAGTTACTCTAAAGTCACTCAGTGTCTAGACAACAATTAGCAAAACTCTGAACAAATTGATTAATCATATTAGGAACAGTCAGGATGTTGCATACGTATCTGAATTTTTGTCTGGCAGTTTCAGTGCATTAGATAGAGGTTAAATTTGTTTACATGGGGTTCGGTATCTCGCATTGTAAATTAGCATTGTAATGAAATTCACTCATTATCATATTTTGTTTTCAACTTTCCTGCACTCTGTCTTACCTTTGCAGTTCATGGGAGGCCAAAGTTAATAAGATGGCAACGAATCCAAGCCAACTGCTCGTCATCTGGTTCTGTTTTGCGATGTCTTTATTATGATTTAACTTATAATACAAAGTAAAATTGATATAATCTAATCGTTTAGATTCAGTTTTTCCAATATATGCAAAAACATCTCTGCAAGTTGTATGCCTTTTGATGATGCCTGTCTGTCAAATTAAAAATAACTTTTGAAAACAGTAACCTTAAAACAAGTATTTTTAAACCTAAAGTTTTATTAGGGCCACATTTCTGTATTAAAATGTTTTATTTATTTTTTATTTTTTTATTTGTCTGATGTAATATTCTAATATTTTAAATGGCATGTCATCAGCTGTAAGTGGAAAATCATCATAGCTAAGATAATTAAAGACTTGGAAACATCTATCCTATCTGTATTTTATTAATCTATAAATATTTTTTCACCTAGTGAACAGAGTTGCAGGATTAAATTAACTTTTCAATAATATTCTAATTTACTGAGATGCATATGTAATGAAATGAAAATTACAATATGAATATTTACTAAGTAAATTTCATTTTGCAAGTCCTGAACTGTGTCAGGTTTTTTTTTCTTTCTTTTAATTTTCTCCAGTTAAAAGAACACCGAGTTTTGATGAGCAAAAAAAATAAATAAATAAACAAAGCAAAAAAAAAAAAAAAAAAAAACTGGTACATTTTTATGAAACGTGCCCATGATATCTTGTATACATTTTATTCTATAAATACAATTTATATTTTGATAAATCCCAGAAATATCCCTTTAAATAGTAGAATGTATTTTATCTTTATTTATCACAATTTATAAAAAATTATAACCTCATCATCAGTAAAACATTTGGAGGAGCTAGAATGGAATATCTATGTGCTACATAGATATTCTTCAGTCGTTTTAGCATACATTTTGCAGACATTCTCCTGTCTTTGATCCTGTTCATTCTCTGTCTCCCCATTCTTTACCTCTTCCTGTGACTGATAGCTGCTGCTGAAATTTGATCCACACGTCTCACTCACTCTCCCTCTTTAATTAAAGGAATTATACATCAAGTATTCAGTGAAATATATATGAGAAAAAGATGGAGATGGAGTTTCGCTTAATTGAGGAGACAAGAGGATAAAAGTGATCATGGCCCAGTAGGGCTCTTTCACACCCAGCATGACATTAAGGAAGATGAAAGGAGCCTCTATAGCAACCGGTGTGTGACTGGAAGCAACACACTGTGATGTATTATTTATTTATTTGTTTTTTTGTCTATATGAACGACTTTACACTTAACGATGAAGCACAATATGACTCATAGATTTGTTTCATGGCAAAGTTTATTGCATGGAAATAAACATGACTGCTTCTAGGCTCTGATCTCAAACACTGGCTTTAGGGTCATTATTGGCTTAGTTGAATGATTTGAACTTTTCTCACATGTCATTCTACTTTTTAAGATTTTATACCAGTTGCTCTTTAATAAAGATATATAGAATGTTATATACAAAGCTCTTTTGTGCAATTTTGCAAGTAGGTTCTTTGCAGGAATGCAGATCCTGGAATGCAACTGACTTGGTAAACACTTAAATGATTCAATCTTGATTGGGAACTCTTTACTTTTTAACTGAATTCTTCTAACCAAAACATTTCAAGCACGTTTCTAACACTGAACTGCTCAGCTTTGATTCTTACATTCTTGTAAACTTTACTCTTGCATCTTCAGGCTACCTCTTAACACAACCTGTTCTGTTTAGCATATCAATGCACCTTTTTGTGCCTTAAAAAATGAATTGGTGTGTACTTAGGAGTTAGGAGTTGATGCAAAATTCAATGCACTGGCATTGAATTTTGCAACAAAAACATATCTGTTATGTAAAAACACTGCAGTACTTCTGGCCCCCCTGTGTGTTGAAAAAAACATTTTTGAATTCTATGAAATAAGGATTTTTGGTTGGTTCAATCAAGCATTTGGCAAAGATTTTCCAGCTTAGCGAGTAACAGATCATTCAGCAAGTTATTTATTCTATCATTTTCATGCTGGTGCACTGAGTCACTGTTGTTCAAAAGCTGGTTGATGTGAAAATAATGTTTTGGTTATGAGAGTTCATTTTCTTCCCCCATGTCGACGGTGGTTATGATTAGCATATGCAGGTGCATCTCAGAAAATTGGAATGTTGTTGAAAAATTTATTAATTTTAGTAAATTAATTCACTGAAGTAAGCGAAACATAATTTTGATTAGTACACATTGGTGTTGTTAACCTTCTCATTCTGGCAATTATTGTGATTATCAACTTACAGTTAATGGGACATTTCATTTCTTAGAAGACTGGAATATTACACCAGACCAATAAAAGCTAATTTGAATTCAAGAAGGCGGGCTTGATGAAACATAGTTTCAAACAAAATGTTCTTTTAATCCAACAAACAGGCCTCACTGGAACACACATCCCTATTCTTTGAGATGCACCTGTACGCCTAGAAAAATATTGTGAAATGTTAGTACAATTTTATATGTGATGTTTAAACTTTCTCTTCACACTCGCATATACTGGAGCTCTCTGGACATCACGGGTTTGATCCTACCTTGGGTCTTTCTGAATGGAGTCGATGGAAGGTGAACGCTGCAGGCTTCCTTCAGGCGGTAGGGCCGGCCCAGACTTGCTGTAAGGAGATTCCACCACCGAGGGGCAGTACTGCAGGGTGCGGTAGGGGTCTGCCACGTAAGGGTCTGACCCGTAAACATCTACGCCTCCTCCACCAGCGCTTGAAGTGTATCCTGGCCCCACCGTGGCATAGTTGTTGGTCCCACCACGGCTGTAGCTACCTGTGCCAGTGCCGTGACTCCCTGTTCGCTGCAAAGGGGTGGAGTCGACACCAGGGGAAGAGGGTGCTATGGGGGCAAAGTAGGGACAAAGGACATAACTTAGGTCACGGACATGGCTATGGACATGCATCATCAGTTCTATACAGGACATGAAAGGAGGGAGGAGAAGGAGAGAAAGAAAGAACAAAAAGGCAAGTATAGGAAGGGAGAGGAAATGCAGGTTTCAACAAGTTAATTGAAAGACAAGTCAATTTCAATGCTCTGAATAATTGTTAAAGAGAAAAATACACTTAAACATGCAGAGTTTAAGATTTGATGTTATGATTAGATTTAATATTTTCTCAGCATCCTTTTATATGGCATTTTAAGTACTGAAAATCAACTAGAAAGAATGCATTTTAGGGTATTCACAAAATGTAAATGACCTGTTATTTTATGTAAAAATAATAAATCATAATATCATAGTTCATTAGACTGCAAATCAAATCTTGTTTTGCTTAGAGATGTAAACAGTCAGTGCAGACGCAGCAGCTTTCCTCTTCCCTCTACATTGTTTATGGATCGGTGATATATCAAAATGTTAATGTGGGTCTAGGGGCTTTTGTTCTTCGGCTGTAAACAGGGAGACAAACTGTATGAAGGAGGAACCTCTCATCTGTCATTCAGACCAAGCTATCTGCAGACTACAACACAGATACACACACGCACACACGCGCACGTATCCCCACACACACGTAGAAGCAACGTAAATGTGTTCGTCAGGAACTGAGTGATAGCTCGCAGCATGGAAATCAATATGTGGCCATGTGATTAGCACTTTAACACCAGCCGATGAGTCTGGTCTCACAATCAGAGAGAATGTCTGACTGAAACTGGAATCACACAGAATGGGGTACAAACACTTAACTTAAATACATAAATACAAAGACCATGAATTCAAATCAATGAAAGAACTTCAGATTATGCGTGTCGGTGTGCTAAAGCTGAGTGTCTCATCATTATGTGACCGACAAACTTGCTCTTTAGTGCTGTCTTGAGAGCTGGCATTTGTTTGACCTTCACAGCCCTGATATAGCTCTATTCCAACCCTCTCACTCACACAAACACACACATTTCTGACCTGCCTCATCTGTAAGATACATGAGGACACCCTCTATCACACACTATATAACAAGCCACTTTTTGTTGACTTTTATTTGTTCTTAAGTCAACAAATATTTTCAATCATTGAGTTATGCTGGGGGGGCTGAATGGCAGAGTCGTTAGCATTGTTGCCTTGCAGTAAGAAGGTCCAGGGTTCACTGAGGTTTCCCTCAGTCCAAAAACATGACTGTTAAATCAACTTGTGTCTCTTAGTTTTCCTTAGCTATGAGTGTGATTGTGAATGGTGTTGTTCAGATTGTCTCCATGTTCTTTCTCTCACCCAAATTATGAATATGAAAGGAAAATAATTGCTGCTTCAGGTAATCTATTATTGCCCTAAATTTGATAAAGATCTAAACAATTTGGCAGGAGAAAACAAATATTTCAGCTGAAAACTGAGGGATAGAAGAGCATCTTGAAAACGCTAACAGTGGTGAGAGAGAACGGTCGTATAGGACGCAATGGGGCAGAATCACTCTCATAAGGGGCAAATTCTATACTCTTTAAATAGTGTCCATGGTGAGTCTGTCCTTCTCAACGTCTCATTAGTAGCCAGGGCTTTAGGCTAACACTACCAGTTTCAGTGTGCACTCACCAAGAGACGTGACAGCCAAATAGGACAAACCCCAGAGCAAAAGAAGGCATGGAAGAATGGCAAAAGAAGGAGTAGGCAAAAAAAAAAAGTCTCACAGAAAAAAGTGGCCTGTCAAATATTTTTATCCAGTAGCTTGAGCTGTGACCAGTGGAAAGGAATATTATTGGGTGAAAAGTGCTAAAGAAAACTAAGAAAGCAAGAGGGGGTAAAATGTGGATATGGAAGGGGAAAGAAACACAGCCATTACATTTCTCTTAGCTCATTTGTTTCGGGTTGTGGATGTTGTTAATGTGCATGCAACTTTTTATTTTTTTTTTCCATTTCTAGTCATCCTCTTCGATCACAGTTTCTCACTTATATTCCATATAAAACTGAATGCACTATTTGATTTGACAGAGAGTCTTCTGACAAATGAGTTGACTTTTAAAGCTGGGGATCATGGGGATTTGTGTCACTGTAACTGTTTATTTTTGATACTAAGACAAAATAGAAACATCTTACATTGCCTTGCAAAATTATTCACATGACATGAACATTGCCACATTCTATCCTGCAATACAAAGTTTTAAAGTCATATTTGTGTGTGATTAAAATTATTGAATAAAAAAAAAGTGTCATATGTCTTTATATTAGGTAGTTAGTTGAACCCTCAGAAACAGCTGCAGGTCTTTTAGCTTATGCTTCTATGAGTTTTACACAATCTACCCATTCTTCTTTGGAGCTCATGCTCAATCGGGTTAGATGTGAGCATCATTTTTCAAGTCTAGTTATAGATTCCCAATTAAATCTTGGTCTGAGCTCTGTGCCATTCATCCACATAAATATGGCTTGATCCAAAGTGTTGCTATCCTGCTGAAAGATGAGACTTGCTATCAACTCTTTTGCAGCCTCTCATAGGTTCTCTTCCAGGATTCCACTTTTTTTAGTTCCATCTATCTTTCAATCAACTCCGATCACCATCTTTGAGAAAAATAATTACCATTAACATCCAATTAGTGATGTTTTCACTGTGACCTAGTTATTGTATCTTACAAGTCAGCAATTTAAAGTTACATTTTAGTCTTATCTTACAAGAACCTCTCCTTAAAAAACAATCGCCGTCTCCCCCAAATCAATTGTAGCAAATAATGACTTCATCTATTATTTTTTCCCCCTTAACAAAAATGTATTCTCATCACTGCTTTTCTTGCCTAGCTTGTCCATTTAGACGGTGAGCCATGAATTTTTCCATATAAAGATGATGGAGCAAACTGTTCTTTATAAGATTTTCAGACCTTTATTATTTTGTGCCACGACATTAAACATTAATACAATTTTCTTCTGAGCTGTTTACTATGTTTATGCATGTTCTTTAAGAAAACCCCTAAGGCCTTTGAAGAACAGCCAATTTTATACTAAGATTAAAATTTATCTGCTCTCATAATGTCACTGGTGACCTCATGGACCCACTGATTTACATGTAAGTGTTTTTTCGGGGTGACAGTTAAAAGGTTAAATTACTCAAGTCTAGTCTATTTACTAGCTATGTGACTTCAGAAGACAGTCAAAGGGATTAAATGGTTCTACAGAAATTACATTTCCCTTCCACTATCCAAATATGTCATATTTTGTGTTGCTCTATGACATAACAAGTTTGGTGCCGACACGACAAAATATGAATAATAATAATGTACAGACAAATATTTAATCACAAAATCCTTTTTCAAAGTAATATAGTATGAAGCAATGATGCTTTATCAAAAACAGGTGCTAAACTTATTAACTTATGGCATTATTAATGTCATATTAAACCTTTTAAACAGGGAATACACTAATATACAGATCGACTTAGCCAGAACCTAAATGTCAACTGTGTATCAATCACAAAGATGCAGATATCGATCAGATACAAAATAATTCACACATATGTGTAATGTGTATATGCCTCTTCGTTCCCTGAAAAATGTTCTGTCCTTGGACAAAGAGTCACTTGGTTCAGCTGTATTCTTCTGAAGAAGTGCCAGAAGCCTTTCTTTTATTAGAAAATCTCACTGCAAGTTGTTCTACTTCCTAAATTAAAATTCTAAGTAAATTAGGAGTTTAGTCATGTCAAGTTTTTTTTTTTTTTCTATCCCAAAAATCAGTTGACAGTATCTTAAAACATGTGAGTTTTGCTGAAAGCTTGCAGAACAAAAACTTACTTCACTGCTTGACAAAATATTAGGAACACCATGAAGCATGGTAAGTGTGTGTGTATGTGTGTGTTCACACATGTGTGAGCAGTCATATAAACACATGCATATTTCATTAACACCTCTCACACCTAGCACTTTGGCAGCGTGAAATTGTGTTTGAGAATAAATAAAGAGGCTGGTCTATCTTTGTATTCCCTTGGCTTGGGCATAGAGTAAACAAATTGTGGCTGCGCTCCTGCTGGCAGATTTGCAACGGAAAGGGAAACTCTATTAGTCATTTGACACAGTGATACCTCTGCAATTAGCCAGTAAGCTGAGGGGCTGCCTGGCTTAGAGCAAGGCCGACTTTCCTGTGGGCTTCAGTTTTGATGAGGGAGCTCTTGCTCCCATGTACAAGTGATGGAAAGTAGGAGAGAAGGGATCAAACCAATCCTGAAAGCTTTTCGTGTGTATATTAACTTCTCATTCTTTCATCTCTGCTTCCATTCCTTTCAGCTGTACTCTCCGTCACTCCTTTTTTCCACCATTACTTTTTTTTTTTTGGTGGTGCTTTCTGTCCTCACCTCGATCCACTTTCCTCCCCCTCAGATCTCTTTGGAATTCCTCCCTCTGAGTTACACCCCTCTTTTCTGCTGTGACTTACACACTCTCTGCTCTCACACCTCCGTCAGCCATCAGCGTATTTTATGTTCGTATTCCCCTCTCTTTTCTAACACCCTCCTGTCCATCTATCTTTCTGCCTCTCCCCGTGTGTTTTGGTTGTAGCAGCCTATGTGATCAGAGCTGAGGACATGTCCTTCCTCTCGACACGCTTCACTGCTCAGCACGATTACACAAAAACCCTCAATAGAGTTTATATCTCTCATAGAAATTCCCATCAATCTTAGACTGAACTAACAAGTGTTTCTAAATATGCAAGTGACTGACGTTAACAGAATCTGCACGCCTGTAGCACATAGGTCATTTGATGTATACAAAGAGCCTTTTGCTAAAGTAGCCATGGAGAGCCAAAGCTAAGTGAGACCAACAGACAGTTACTTGTGCACACTCACACACACAGTTTGGATGTGTAAGGGAATAGGGATTAGTTTCTCCCTCTTTTTATCCCTGGGGGAGCCTTCCAGCCAACATACAGCTCTAAGCTGGAGGCACTGGAAGATCCACATGCACAAACATGTGCAGAGGCAGAAATGTCCTCTCTTGCAATTACACTGCAACAAGAATAC